AGTTGCTGGTTCTCCCGGCATCTCCACCGGAGAGAAGAACGCGAAGGCACACTCCTCGTAGTCACTCTCCTCGTTGTCTCCGACCATCATTGCCGCTCCGGCCAGGGCTGTCTTGCCCTGCTTTCCCGGCGCATCATAGGTCAGCCTATTAGGGGGTTGAACTCTCCTCTTCCCCCTTCCTTCCTCCTCAGCTGCAGGGACTTGAAGGCCTTGGCGTTGCTGCGGTGTGGCTCGAATCCGTGGAGCACTCGTAGTACGGGAAGGGAGTGACGGTGCACGCTCGCTCACTTGCTGCACCTCCTCCTCTTCTTCCTCTGCATCATTGGCCTCCTCTCCCCCATTCACAAGGGAGGATTGCCTTGTGGTTGTGCTGCCGCTGCTCAGCTCCAAAGGCAGCTCCACATGCTCCAAACCGGAACTCTTCACCTCCCCAAACCGCACGCCTATCTTCGCCTCATTCTCCGCCTTCCAATCCTTGTACATGAAGTTCTCCATGAACTTGCAGTCCCTGCTCACCAAGAACTTCTTGGTGAATGGGTCCCAAAGAAGCCATCCCTTGCTGTTTTGAGCCATGCCCAAGTGCACGGCCCACACCGCCTTGGCACCAAGCTTGTTGTGCCGAAGATGCTTAGGCACGAGCGCCATGCACATGCACCCGAACACCCGAAGCATATCCACCTTTGGCTTCCTTCCTAGCCACTCCACATAGGGCACCCATTTGTCTGCTCCCGCATGAGTCAAGGCTCTGTTCTTGGCCACACACGCGCTCCGCACCGCATCAGGCCAGAAATAGTCGGGTAGCCCGGCTTCAATGAGCAACCCGCGTGCCGCCTCCGTGATTGTGCGGTTCGCTCGCTCGGCGATGCCGTTCATTGCAGGGGAGTATGGCATGGTGAGGGAGTGCCGAATACCATTCTTCTTCAGCCACAACCCAAACTCCTTGCTCAGGAACTCTCCCCCTCGATCGGTGCGGATTGACTTGACTAGACGGTCTTGTTGCCGCTCCACCATCGGGAACCAATCCGTCTTCAACGTTTCAGCCACGTCGCTCTTCTTGGCCAGCACGTACACCCAAGTCATGCGGGTGTAGACGTCGACAATGGTGAGAAAATACTCAGCTCCAGCAGCTCCAAGCTTCAGGGGGGGCACCACGTCCATCACCACCTCATCAAGCGGTGCCTTTGCCGTTGCCTCCGAACTAGGGAACGGAAACCGGGTGAACTTGGCTTGAATGCACGTCGGGCAGCCAAGCACCTCATCGGGCTCCCCCTTCACACGTATGCCAGCAACCATCTCATTCTTCACTAGCTGCTGCAAGATGGGCAGGGCCACATGCCCCATGCGCCGATGCAAGGTGAGCCAATCACACTCCCCCGTAGCCGAAGTTGGATTGGAGAATGCCGCGCTCGCAATAGCGCCCCACATACTCTCTCCGTAGTCCTCCTCCGCTGCTGCCTCTGGGTTCTTCTCACCCTTTTGCTGCTCCTTGGTTGCTGCACCACTCTCCTTAGGTTCACTGAACTTGCTGGTCCCTCCAGGTTTGCTCTTCTTGAGCTCATTCTCCTTAGCGCGACCATTCGCGCCATCGTCGCTACCGACCGCTCCATCCTTGGTGCTGATGCTTGCTGCCACTTGCCTCTCCTTAGGCATAGGGACCACTGGGATCTGCCACATCTCGTTGTAGACATCCCTGTCCTCATGAAGGTCCCAAAGAATTCGATCGCCAAGCCTTGCGGTGTAGGTCTTGGCTCCCTTCGAGTTCGTGTCCATGCCGGCCTTTGCCAACCGCCGCACGGAAATCAGGTTTGCAGCAAGGCTGGGCACCCAAAGCACGTTCTTGAGGCCCACCATCTTCCCATCAGCACCCTTGAACATGGCCTTGCCCATGCCTTTCACCTCTGCTCGCTGCCCCAAAGCCGATGTGACATGCTTCACCGGTGACGGCTCGAGTTCGGTGAGCAAGTCCGGGCGAGGTGTCATGCTATAGGTAGCGCCACTATCAATCACCCAATAGTCCAGGGGGTGTAGGGTCACCTTCCCCACAGCTGCTGGCTCCTCAAAGCCTTCATCCTTCTCTGGACCAGCCGGTACTTGCGTCGACACGAAGTAGAATAGACCCGGGTATCGATCGTCGCTCGGGTCCTTGTCGTTGTCTCCGCTCTTCATGTTTGCAGCTCCACCACCGCGACCGCCACGGCCTCCACGGCCTCGTCCTCTCCCTCCTCCTGCTCCTCTACCCTCTTGGCCTTGAGCAGGGGTCCAACCATCAGGGAGTTTGTAGCAGTCGCGCCACATGTGTCCGCTCTTGTGGCAATAGTGACACTCGCCGTCGAATCGGCCGCGACCGCGTCCGTAGCTCTTGTCGTCGCTGCCGTAACCGCCACTCCTGCGGCCTCCGCCGAAGTTGCTGCCACCAAACCTTCCTCCCCCTCGTCCTCTGCCTCTTCCTCGACCATATCCACGGCCGATGCTCGCTGCCCCAGCGCCATCCGCACTCGCCAACT